CTAATATCGTGGACCTCTTACGTGTTCGGTTCTCTTATGATGGATCCTTTGATACATACATAGGAAGCGTACCTTACGATAGGTACGTAGGAATGATATGATCCTTCATTCCTTTCTTTGGAGCTTTGTATTGTACGTACGTATACATCCGATACAGTACGTACGCATCCGTTGCAGAGGTTTCGTGATGGAATTTGATACTGTGCTGGTCAGTAAGATAATACCGAAGTGTACGTACGTAGACTTGTACATGAATTCCTACTGTTGCATTTTTTGTTGCACTATGTCTTAATACCTGGAAGGTACCAAACAGAATATCAACCAAAAATGCAACCGTGTAGGACATAGTACATAATATACGTAGGTGCACCAAGCCAGTGCGTGGTGCGTACTGTATCAGGGTGATTGATGAGAAGTACTCGCACTGTCACGCACAAGGCAAATTCTATGGAAAAAATAGAGTAATTCTCGACAATCACCACGATAACGAAAACACCGACAACACTGATCATACCAACACTCCTGTCAGCTAATAAGATGGTCCTCTTGCTGAGGATAACACAGCACAGTTAACATAGTAGTATACAGCCACTTGTTCTATTAGGGGGGACAAGTAGTTAGCAAATAAGGCGTCCGTATCAGCAACGAGCCTCCGTATCAGCATCCTGCGTATCAGCGGCTCATATCAGCATCCTCCGTATCAGTGGCTCGTATCAGCGGCTCGTATCAGCATMCTCCGTATCAGCGGCTCGTATCAGCGGACACCGTATCAGTGAGCTTCCGTATCGGTTGCTGGTTTGCTTATTAGGAGCTTCATTTTGTGGTGAGCAAAGAGGAACTGAATAGTACTACAAAGAAAAATCTGAGTCTCCGGGAGTGAATATTTTATGTGGGAGTTGCAAAACGGTTGCATTTTCCATACAAAATTGACTCTTTCTTGCAACCAAAATAGGTACGGATGCAACMAAAACGGAAGAGCTAATACGGTTGCACAGTAGAATCCCTACCACAAAATATGTAGAACATGTGAGTACGGTGGTAAATAGAGTGGGTCCAGTAAGCGTACTTGCAACGGATACGTGCAACGGATACGTACGTACTGAATTGAAATGATACGTACGTACTGTGTTGAAAGCATACGTACGATGCTCCCTCGGAATGGATGGATATACCATTCCTACCTATATATCATAATATACTATTCTTATATACGGATCATACGATCCATCATGTTGATGATCGTAAGAGGTCTAAGATACTATTCGAGAATACCTCACGAAGAATAGAGATGTCA